TGTGTGTGTGTGTGTGTGTGTGTGTGTGTGTGTGTGTGTGTGTGTGTGTCACACAAACCTCTGGCACCCAAGGAGGCCAGAGGTGTCGGATTACTCCTCAAACTGCAGTTCAGTTACAGTTGCTTTAGACGATTAAATGATCAAAAAAAATTAGTCCCCACCCTCCAGGGAAATCGTTACATTCTACCAATGATAAAAGAGCCCTGGAAATGCCAGTCCCCACCCCCACCCCCGCCCTGACCCCCCAGACTCCAAAACCCTTCAGGTAGGGCAGCCAGTTGCCTGCCTTCAGTGCTGCTCAGGAAACGGTGTATGCCTAGCTCTGTGAAAAAGGACTGTGTGTTGATGGGCTGGATAGTCCTCCTTGGCGAAGAAGAAAATTATCCCAGTTCACACTATCTTTCATTTGAAAAAAATAAAAGCTCAATAAAGACTCGTAAAGAGAATGACTGCACCTTGGACAGAAAGGAAAAAAATGTGACTACTCAACAAGATGAAGCTTAATCAACTGTTAAATTCTTAATAGTAGGGTTTTCTCACTAAATCTCTGCCCCGGTTTACAGAAGTCTTAACTTTCAATAAAGGCTTTAATATCCTATTTATGTTGTAACGTTTGCGAGAAAAGAAAAGTCTGTCTCAAATACTACAAATCCATTAAAATGAAGCGAGGGTGCTCTAGTTTAAACCTCAGCTCAAGGAAGGGTACCTATCGACTGACAAAGACTCTTCTTTGTTCCTAAACTCCACTCCTCCTCCATGCCCCTCAGCAGTCCGACGCCCCTGGACTCCGCCTCTATACCAAAACCCCTCGGACCTCAGAGATGGAACCCCCAAACAGCTCCCCCACCTCTTCCACTCTGAACTAGCCAATCAGTTCAGTCCAAACGCTGGGTCACTGCCCTTACCTTTAGCTCTGATCTCACCTTTGCCAGGGTTAAACAAAACGAAAACTTGTCTAGCCTCGCTCGTCCCCAGTCTCAAGCCTCTCTCTAAACGCCACTCCCCCCGACCCCGGCCACCACTTCGACCTGTCTCCCGTCCCACCTGCGAGATCTCTCAACTCCCCACTCTCAAGCCTCTGGGGGACCTCCCGCAACAGCGAGCCCCCTTCCTCCAGGCAGCGTGTTCTTAGAGACTCTGTCCACGCCACGGCCACCTCCCGTACCCGCCCACCCACTCGGGTCCGTGAATCTCACGATCCCACTTCCCGGGCCTGGGGAGACCGCACTGGGAGCGCTTCCGATCCCGGGCTCAGCTCTGGCCGCGGGCACTCGGCCGAGGGGAACCACTGTGAGTCGGCGGCGCTCGGTCCCCGTCGGGCCCGCCCCGGTCCCTCGTCGTCTCCCCGCGTCCATTACCAGTGGACAGGACGGGCGCGAGCAGCAACGCCAGCACTAGAGTCCGCGCCACCGCCCCGAGGCCCAGGGCGCCCGGTCCCGGCGGCAGCTTCTTGGCTCGTGCGGCCCCGCTCATTCTGCCCAGGGCGTCGGCGGCCATAACGGATTCGGCCCCGAGCCTGCGCTGTTGCTAGGTTCTGCGTGATGACGTCAGATACGGGTCCGAAGCAGCTACGTCCCGACGTGATGACGTCGCATGCCAGAAGTTTGAGGGAAGGGGCAAGGTTAGGAAGGGTTTGAAAAGAAGGGACCTGAGAAAGGCGAGTCGAGGGGTTTATTTTCAACTGATTGTTGTTGTTTGCTGTTGCTGTTGTCTTTGAGACGTTATTTTAGGGGCTGGAGAGGTGGCTCATCCCCCCCAGAGGACCTGGGTTTCTAGTCCCAGCACCTATGTGAGGGCTCACAGCCATCTGTAACTCCAAGTCCCAGGGGATGTGGTGCCCTCTTTGGGCATCCTCAAACGCCAGGCATGCAGCTGATGTTGAGACATACAGGCACGTTTATTTTTAAAGATTATATGTATGGGGCTGGCGAGAGGGCTCACCTGTGGACAGCGCTTGCTACTCCTGCAGAGGACTGGGTTTGATTCCCAGCAGTCAGGCTAAGTAGCTCACAACACCTCTAACTCCAGCTCCAAGGGATCTGACCCCCACCTGTGGCCTCCACAGGCATTACACATATGGGGTACACATACATATATCAAGCGGTCATTTCTAAATTAAAAATAGCCAGGCATGGTAGTGCACGCCTTTAGTCCCAGCACTCAGGAGACAGAAATAGACGGATCTAAGTGAGTTCAAGACCAGCCTTGTCTAGAAAGCGAATTCCAGGATAGCCAGGGCTACACAGAGAAACCCTATCCCAATAGATAGACAGACAGACAGACAGATAGGAAAGAAATGTTAAGTGCGCCAGAGCTACACAGAGAAATCCTCTCTCGAAATAAATAATAGATAGATGAATGGATAAGGAAGAAATTGTGTGAATGAATAATAAACAGAAGATGGATGGATGGATGGATGGATGGATGGATGGATGGATGGAGAGAGAGATAGGAAGGAAGGAAATTGTGTGTAAGTGCACCAGGGCTACACAAAGAAACTCTGTCTCAAAAAAAAAAAATAACTAGAAGGATGGATAGATAGATAGATAGATAGATAGATAGATAGATAGATAGATAGATAATTGTGTGTCTAGTGCCCCCGGGCTACATACAAAAACCTTGCCAAATAAATATGAAATTGTGCATGTGCCCTCCATGCCAGAAGACAGTGTGACTCCCCTGGAGCTGGAGTTAGCTCTGATTGTGAGCCACTCCCTGTGGATGCTGGGAACCACACCCTGGTCCTCTGTAAGAGCAACAAGTGCCCTTAACTGCTGAATGATTTCCCCAGCGCCCTTTTTGGTTTTGGTTTTTAAAACAAGATCTCATGTAGCCCAGGGTGGCCTCAAAGTCCCTTTGAATAACCTTGAACTCCTGTGCCCTTCCCCCCACTTCCCAGGTGCTGGAATTACAGGTGTGAGCTGCCAACCCGGCTTTTCCTTTAGTGTTTCGTCAAATATTTAACACTTCTCCATACTTAAGGGTGCGTCGATAAACAAACTCAGTAAACTCAAGCCAGCCTTTGCAGGATTTGTTTTCTTGTGAGGGACACTGTAAGAATGGATAATATTTAACAGGCCAATAGTGTTACAAAAGAAAACTGGCTAGAAAATCAGAATGAAACATTGCCATTTAGAATGGGCTCAAATGTTCTAAAGATATACTTCTATCGCTTCTTATATCTTACAAAATAAAACATGAAAATGTTTTATGTATATGAAAATGTAATCCAGCACTCGGGAGGCAGAGTCATGAGGATCTCCGAGTTCGAGGCCAGCCTGTTCTACAGGACACCCAGGGCTACACAGAGAAACCATATATATATAGTTATATATAGTTTGCCTAAGGCCTTAGTACAGAGTTTCTGTGGGCATGTTGTATGAATGTTTTCTATACAGCTATAGGTTTCAATCACATACTTCCCTTCTCATTTTCAGGAAAATTGCTGTGGCATAAAGCTGGCATTTCTCATGCCCACCAACAACGTCTCTGCCATCTGTGACTCCTTCCCCAGAGGCAGCTGAGCAGCCTCCACAGAGTAGAAAGGGGCTTGTGTTTTCCCAAATCCAATTTATCTGGCTCTGGACCAGCTCAAAAAACAGACTGTTAAGAAAATGAAGAAGCCATTCACCTTGTTTCAGTCTGCAGCAAACCCTTGTATGTGGAACGATGCCCACACCATCCAGGTTAGCAGAGGTCCAAGACCCCCAAAGCTTCGCTTCCTGGATGTTTAGAAAATAGCAGTGTTCAGAGAATAATCTCAGTCCTAGCTTCTGCCTGTACAAAGGTTTTCAATTGGCACCCTCTGTCCTCCCTAATCTACTCTGTTCTTTCGTCCTCACTGACAGATCAGCTGAATTCATTTTCCAGGTTCTTTTAAAGTATGTGAACGTCTTGTCTTCTGGGGGTTATGTATGCGAGCAGAGTGTCATCAGAGACTGGAGGACAGCATCAGCTGTTTCCTGGAACTGGAGTCACAGACAGTTGTGAGCCGCCATGTGGATGCTGGGAACCAATCCCAGGTGCTCTGCTTTGCTATCCAGCCCCACGACTGAATTCCTTTTATTAATGAGATGTTATAAACTCAAGGAAATTTTCAATGATACTCCATCCAACACACTGCATACTGTCGGCAGACATGTGCTAGGTAGCTGGTGAATGAAATCCCTCATACTCAGAGGGCCTTCTAAACACTTCTCAGCATTTACTACTGTGCCTGGCCCTTGACTACACGGACCCAGAAAACCCTTTTCCAGAATCTCTGCACTCCTGAGGAAGGCGATGTGACCAACAAGCCTCAACCCCGCCAACCTGTTTCGCTGCCTGCAAACTGTGCAGCGTGCTCCGGGTGATGGCAATGAGCTTCCTTTTACATGTTTTTAATTTACTATTTGAAGAGGCAGTGGCTCAACAGCGCTTGATGCACTCACAGACCCCGGTTCAGTTCCCAGCACCCTCGTCAGACTGCCTGTGACTGAAGTTGTTTAGAAGCAGCACCCTCTCTAGCTTCCTGGGGTATCCGCATGCACACAGTGCATGCAAATCTGCACAGCCTCACACACACACACATTTAGTAAGCTTGGGCGTGGGGACAACACTCCCAAAGAAAACGCTCACCCAACAGCTATCAACCAAATAGTGCCCCAACCAGGGCACTGAACCCCTCAACTTTTCTCTTGAAAGATCTCACTATATATCATTGTGTCTCAGTCTCCAAGGTGCTGGGATGTGCCACCACACCCAAACACAAGTGCTTTTTCTTTTTCTTTTTCAGATTTATCTTTATTCGTGTGTGTGTGTGTGTGTGTGTGTGTGTGTGTGTGTGTGTGTGTGTG